AGGAACCCGGCTCTGCTCCCTGGATTCGAATTCAGGAATAGCCTTCTTTCGACCGGTTCCCTGCCTCGCTTTTCATGGGGGTCGAAGGTTAGCAGGCGACTCGGACTGTGGCACTCCAAAGTGCTGGGATTAGAGGCATGAGCCACCACACCCGGCCGGATTTTCCTTTTGTTCCTGTGTGATGCAAATCCTGTTTTAACAGCATTAGGCTGCACCCTCATTTGTATGGTGGTTAGTAACACAGACAAAAAAAAAAATCAGACTGCGTGGGGGTGGAGGCGGAAGCCCTGAGTAGCACATCCCATTACAGCCACCTCATCATCGAATAATTCCAAGCAACTGACTTCAGCTTTTGATGTCAGTTCAAAATTTGCTTCACCTGCAAATTGAGGGCAAAGACCCCTTCCAATGTCCCCCCCTAAATTGTGAATCATGGGTCTAGAGGGACGTGAAGCTGCCATGTTCAGAGGGGAGGCTCTGTTGTTTCTTACTGATATTAATGCAACCTGGAAGGAGCCCTATTTATTCAGACTCGTGTTCTCAAAAGTGGATTATCTTCAGGCATTCAACTGAGTGCTGAGTGTGTCCTGGGGCGTTTCTTCCTGTATGCCCAGTATGTTAATTTTGGGGGGCTGCTGGAAAGAATGACCACAGAGTGGGCACACAGTAGGAACTTTCTCTCATAGTTCTGGAGGCCAGAGGACCAAAATCGAGGTGTTGGCGGAGTCACACTCCCCTAGAAGGTTCCGGAAGAGACTCTGTCCGTCTTTGGCTCTTCCAGCTTCTGGTGGCTGTTGGCAGTCCTGGGCTTGGTTTGTGACTGTGTCCCCCGGCCTCTTCTGTCTTTGCATGGCCTTCTCTTCTGGGTGCCATCTCCGCGAGTGTCTCTTATAAGGACACTTGTCATTGGATGAAGGTTTCACCCCAATTCAGGGTGATCCCATCTTGAGATCGTCAACTTAATTGCATCTTCAAAGACCCCTTTTCCAAATAAGGGCACATGCGCAGGCCTGGGGGGCAGGATGTGAATATATCTTTTGGGGGACGCCAGTCGGTCCACCTCAGGCACCACTAGCCAAAAGCCAGTAGAGCCAGCAGCTACTGGGGCTGACAACAGTTACTCTGAGTGGCTCTGTGAGCCTCAGGCAGGACCGCACCTGTGTGTCTGTGGCAGAGAAGTCGGCTGCCTGGGGCCCCCCCAGAGCCCTGAGGCTGACTTGGCCCAGAACTTTGGGTACCCTCCCCTCCTGGCAAATGCTGGAAATGGGCGTTGTGAGCCCAGAGCTTGGATTTGGGCTGGGCACGGGCGAAGTGTGCCCAGCTGGGTCCTGCCTGCCAGGAGCGGATAGTTGTCTGGGTAGCAGGTGAGCGGACACCCAGAGCAGCCCTCAGCAGCTGTCGTGTAGATTCAGAGAAGGCTTTGCCCTCACAGGCTGCCCCTACCGTGGACAGAGCTGAAGCTATGCCCTCCCTCGCCTGCAGGGCCTGTGGTCCATCTGGCCAGCTGTCAGCTGGGCTGCTCCTGGGGACATGGCCCATTTGTTTCCCCTCCGGGTTTGTTTGGTTTTGGTTTTGCATCCTTCCCAGCTACATGCAGATTTTTTGGGTGAAATTTGCTTGCCTTCCAAAAAAAAAAAAAAAAAAAAAAATCCAAAGCAACAAAAAAAGAAATTGTATTGTTTTCTCAGCAGTAATGGAAATAGAAAGTTGGACTTAGCTAGAAGAGTATAAAGAAGAGAATAGACATCACCTGTAATGGCAGCCCCTAGGTAACCACCCTCAGTGTCTGGAGGTGCGGCTATCAAATCCTGTCCACCGTGTACCCAGGGTGCAGGACTGGCATCGTGCATGTTGTGGCTGAGTGAAAGGAATGAACACATACACGTTTTTCAGAGAATTGTGAGCATAAATTCTATTTGGCTTTCACTTTCTCCTTTTTCACTGACCTGTCCCCATGTGGCATTTGCTGATGGGCTTTGATGCAAGTTACTTAATCCAGCCCTTACACCTGGGCATTGTGTGTTGGGATGTTTATATCATCCAGGTGTTTCTGTCTGAGACTGTGTCTCTGGTTAGTTCCATAAAGCACATTCCTAGAAGCGGCCACAGGATGGAATGAAAGGGAGCAATCGGCCTCTCTCACGTGTTGTTGTCAGAACACTTCCTGCTTATCATGGTGTGGGGAGGATGCCTTGCAGACGCAGAGGCCGACTTCTGAGAACCGCTGTGGGTGTAAGCGCGGACAGGTCAGAGGAGGTGGGGAATAAATTATGCATTAGGCACCAATCAGTTCAATCACAGCAAATGGAGTTCATGCTTGTCTGAAGACAGAATGCACCTTTCTGGAATTGATCGGTGGGGATGTTGATTCGTCCTGAAAGTGCTTCACGGTGTTTTGAAACATACCACTTTCACCTGCCCAGGAGGTAGGTAACTGGCCGCTGTCACTGCCTTCCACTTTTTCTTTTTTCTTTTTTTTGAGGTGGAGTCTCACTCCGTCGCCCAGACTGGAGTGCAGTGGCTGCTCCCGGCCACCGCAGCCTCGACCCGCTGGGCTCCAGCAATCCTTCCGTCTCCGTCTTCCAAGTAAGCTGGAACTACAGGCGCGCACTGCCACGCCCGGCTGATTTTTGATTTATTGTAGAGATGAGGTCTCGCCAAGTTGCCCAGGCGGGTCTCGAACCCGCGGGCTCAGGCCATCCACTCACCTCAGCCTCCCAAAGCGCTGGGATTACAGGCTGAGCCACTCAGCCCGACTGCCTTCCACTTTTTCTAGTGTGGTCGGACACCCCAGGGTCCCAGGGCAGGCGTGTCATGGCCGACTTCAGTTCACGACCACAAGTGTCTACAGCTCTCAGACACACTGGCACTGAGGAAACCCTGCACCAACCTCTTCCCCGGCACCCCTGTCTTGTACTTTGGGCATCTCCCACCCCACAGGCTGAGGCCACACTGACTCCACGTGGCTGAGTCCTGGGCCAGCTTCCGGCCTTCCCCTTGACTTCTTAGGAGCCATCCTCTGTTGGCTTTTCTTCCGGCTATCTCCTCACAGCTCCTCTGGTTCTTCTTCTCCTTCTGTCTGTAGGCTTCTTGTTCACGGTCTTCCTTGCCCATTTCTTCTCTTCTGCCCAACTCCCAGGGTTGGCATTCCTCTACGCGGGAATGACCTCTTGTTCTCACTCTGCATTCCGGGCCATCTGTTCCCAGTGCCACCATCTAGTAGTTGTGTGGCCTTAGGTAGCCTCTTGAACCTCTCTGCGCTTTGATTTCTTCATCGCTCAGACGGGCCTAATAACCATGCCACCTCTTCAGATGTCCCAAGGATTGTCGGGTAGGATTCTCAGCCCCTGTCAAGGACCTGGCCGTCGGTAGGCGCCTCATGACTCTCTGGGATCACCCGCGCGCTAATTCACTCATCCAGCACATCTTGATGGAATGCCTCTTACATGCTGGCCTCGCTTCCAGGCCCAGAAGGTGCAGCGGGGAGCAAAACAGACCCAGGCCCTGCCTACCTGGAACTTACAGCCTAATATAGGGAAATAGACAAGAGCTAAGTAAACATATGTGGAGGTGCCATAAACGTCAGACACATTTTAAGTTTGACGTTTGCTCAAATGATGGTGCCGACCAAATAAATGCTAGCATCAGAATACAACGGGCAAGACAGTCCAAAAAAAAAATGGCACAAGCTTGGTGGAGCGAACGTCATACTACACGTTGCTACTGTAGTTTACTTCAACTTCGAGAAGCAGTCTAATTCATAGGTCACGTCTCTTAAAATGTGTACGCATTTTTTGGTACCCCCTGTAGTTGGTCGTGTGGAAAGCAGTGACGAGACATGGTAAGGGGCCAGGAGAGCAGTGAGGGGCTCCCAGGGGCTCCCAGGGGCAGGGGTGGCAGGCCACTGGGCGCAGGGACGTCTTGGTTCGGTCCTGGCTCGCCCACTTCCCGGGGTGGACTTTGATCGGGCTCATGCTGTTTCTTACTGGCTGCATGACGTCACTAGCACTCAACCTCCATGTGCCTGGGTTTTCTTGTCTGTAACGCTGGGTGTGGCCAGGTACAGTGGCTGATGCCTGTCATTTCAGCGGATCACTGGAGGCCAGGAGTTGGAGACCCTGTCGCTACAAAAAAATAAAAAATAATAGAAGAAAAAAAACAACACTGGGTAGGGGAGAGAACAACTAACCTTTATGAAGTCTAAAAGCTTGTTTCTCTTTCCTTCTCTTTTTTTTTTTTTTTTTTTGAGTCGGAGTCTCACTCTGTCAATCATGGCCACCACAGCCTCGACATGCTGGGCTCAGGCGATCCTTCTGCCTCAGCCTTCCAAGTAGCTGGAATTGCAGGCGTGTGCCATCACGCCCAGCCAATTTTTTTATTTGTTGTAGAGATGAGGTCTCACCAAGTTGCCTAGGCTGGTCTCGAACCCCTGGTTCAAGCAATCCTCTCACCTCGGCCTCCCAAAGGGCTGGGATGACAGACTTGAGCCACCGTGCCCGGCCTAAAGTTTGTTTCTCAAAGTGTGGTCCTCAGGCCTCACTCCAGAATTGCCGGGAATGCGGATGGAACATGCAGACTCCCTCGCCTACCACGCTTGTGCTTCCGGCTCTGGGGTGAGGCCCCGGGACCTGCCTTTGGAAGTGAGCACCTTGGGAGGCTTCGGGTCACTGGTGCTTGCGGACTGTGGTCTGCAGTCTGCTGAGACGGGGTAGCCCCATTCTGGCGAGAGCAGGTCTGGACTAAGCTGCTGGAGGTGTGGTTGCCTGGGGGCTGCATGTCAGCCTCTCCGCCAGAGGCCCAGGGCCCAGGACTCTGCACCACCATGGCCATGATTCCAGAGCTCCTCTGTGCAGAAGAGTGAGCTCCGTCCCGTGAGGGGCAGGGCATCTGCCCAGCGAGGCATCTGCCTGGCCCGGGGCGGCGGGGCGGGGGGTGGGCAGACAAGACAAGGAGAACCCAGCCCCGCCCATCTCTCCCTGCTGACTCCGTTTCCTCTCCCCGCAGGACCCCAAGTGATGCTGGTTTCCTCAGAGGACGAGCCGAGCCCGGTGCGACTGGACAGCACGGCGGAGCTGGTGGCCGTGCCTGCTGGCCAGCGGGCGTGAACCTCAGGATCTCAGCGTCTCGATCCGAGAGCAAGCATGTCCAAGAAAGGCCGGGGCAAGGGCGAGAAGCCCGAGACGGAGCCGGACGCCGTGCAGATGGCCAACGAGGAGCTGCGGGCCAAGCTGACCGGCGTTCAGATCGAGGTCCAGCAGGAGAAGAGCAAGGTGGGAGGGCAGGGCCCCACGTGTCCGGGAGCGCGTGGCCCCCGGGGGTGTGGAGGGTGGCGCCTCGCCCTCCTGCACGGCGGCTCGCCCTTCCCGGTACGGAGGCTGCGGGCTCGAGTCCTGGCCACGGCCGGCGCCGGCTGTGACCTCGGGCGAGCCGCACGGTGCCCCTGTGGCTTAATTCATCTTCCGGCAAGGTGGAGGCTGTGGAAAGGAAAACTTTCGGCAAATCCAGTTCACCAGAGTCTAGTTGAGCAAAGAGCAATTTGAGAAGCAGAAGAGGCTCAGGAAAACTGTGGTCTGCACGTGGTCAGGGACGTTATTTGGGCAGAAAACAAGTGAGGGACAGAGACGGCTCAAATGGCGACGGCTGACGTTTGCCTTATATCGGACCACGGGCCGGTCAGTGGGTCGTCAATGACGGACTGGAGCTCGGCAGCTGGGATTGGCTGCGCCTCGGCTGTTCGCTACAAAGTGAGCTCCCTCTTCAGGCCTGTAGTCAGTTCACCCACGGAGTTAGGTTGCCACTCATTCCATAAGGTTTCATGGACGGTGAATCTTCAGGCCAAACTTGGGTTAGTTAATAGGGTCATAGTAGCACCACCGGATGGCCTTGCGGTCCAGACTTGGCATACTATTAGTTAAGGCTTGGAGCATCCACTGTTTTGCCGTCTCGGGGCAGATTGGAACCTTGGAGCCGGGCAGGACGGTGCCTGGCTGGGTGCCAGCTTACTGCAGGAGTCCAGTTAAAGCACAGCCGTGGTGCCCAGCCTGTCACGGTGGGAGGAGCCTGCACTTTCTGGCTTCAAACGTACATGGCTTCACGATCTTGAGCAAGCAACTCAAAGTCTCTACACCTCCATATTCTCATCTGACATCCAGCGTAATAACCGTGTGGTTTAAGAAGGCCATAGGGATCTGATGTAGTGGATGTAACAACACGCCCAGTCAGTGTCTGGTGCCCAAGTGCCACCACAGTCCTTTATGCTGGTGTGCTTCTGACTTGGGTGGGCTAGACAGAGCAAGTGGGGGCTCTGTGAGCCCGGGGGAGGCCACCCACGATGCTGAGGTGGAGTGGAGAGTCAGGCTTGCGGGGTGGCGTCAACTCTATTTAAATAATAAGATTCAGAAAATATGATCAAGTATAGAGTTTATTTGAGCCCAAACATGGGAACGACTGTCCAAAAGATAGGGACTCCAGGGAAACGGGGTCAGTGCTCCAAAGCTAGAAATTAAGGTCTTGATTATTTAGGCAGAAGACAGAGAAAGTTAGTCGGATTGGCTGTGTGCAGGCTCGAGCCTGTAATCCCAGCACTTTGGAAGGCCAAGGCAGGAGGATTGTTTGAGCCCAGGAATTCAAGGCCAGCCTGGGCGACATAGCAAGACGTTGTCTCTACAAAAAAGTTTAAAAAATTGGCCTGGAGTGGTGGCGCATGCCTGTAGACTCAGCTTACTCAGGAGGCTGAGAATATAGCATTCTCTCCGCAAGGCTGGTTTATGAGTTACAACATTTTAATGACAGTTGGTTTTCTTTTCCATATAGATTGCTTTCTTTACTTTACAGCTTGTTTTTATTTCCTTTCTAATTTTGCAATATGTACTTAGGCCAGGCATGGTGGCTCAGGCCTGAAATCCCAACACTTTGGGAGGCCAAGGGCCGGGGGGACTGCTTGAGGCCAGGAGTCCAAGATCAGTCTTGGCAACATAGTGAGACCTCATCTCTCTACAAAACGAACTAACTAAATAAAAATTAGCTGAGCATGGTGGCCCAGCTGTTGGGGAGGCTAAGGTAAGAGGACTGAGTGCAGGAGTTTGAGGCTGCAGTGAGCTATGAGTGTGCCACTGCACTCCAGCCTGGGTGACAGGACAAGACCCCATGTCTAAAAAAAAAGAAAAATTCCGTCTTAAAACGATGTGATCATCATGAAGTCTTTGAGTGAGAGAGGAAAGAGGGGAGGTAATCTATAATTAAAATGGACAGTGAAGAGGGCTGGGTCTTCTCAGGTGCCCTTTGGCCATTTACAACATTCCATAAAATAATACCGTTAAGGAAGAAGGCCAGCCTGCAACCGGAGAGACAAAGGTTACGGGTGCCTAGGTTGCCACTGCTTGTTTACGTGACTTGGGTCCCAAAGTCACATTCCCTACATCTCAAAATAAGTGAACGTTCAATAGCTTGGATTTGAATCACTTATTTCTACAGTGGCTTGAGCAGTGGAGGCTCTGGCCTGGGCAAGGAGCTTCTGTGGAAGCCCAGAAGGTACCCTCTGCCCCCTGCACCTGGAGTGATGGGAGGGGGCTGCTGGGGGAGTTGCAGCTGAGCGCTTCTTGTTGGGCTGGGACTCAGGCAGCTCCTGGCTGGGGTGCAGCTCCCAGGTGAGGTCGGGGCTGGGGCCTGGGGCGTGGCTCCAACACCAGCTCAGGATGGCTGCACAGAGCAGGGGCTGAGCGCCTGACCTGGGGACCGGGCTTCTGGAGCCTGGGGACAGGTGCACCTCCCTCTATCCCCAGGTGTTCAGGATTCCAGCCTCTTCCAGCCGTGGAAGCAGGTGAAGCCAACTTGTCCACACCTTGGCCAGATCAAGAGGCCAAGTCACCTGCTAGGGGGCCTTTGGGGCTGGCAGCTGAGTGCCTGGGGCTGCAGGGGCCAACAGGTTGGACCCAGAAGTAGCAACAGCAGTTGCGGTGATGTGGAGAGCTAGACAGCTAGTCTGACTGCCAGGGCTCCATCCCTCTCCACCACCTCCCCTGCCTTGAGGTCCTGGTGCAGGCCATGTAGCCGGCCATGTAGCCACCCCTGCCTCAGCTGGCCCTCTAAGGTGTCTGCCTCCTGGGTTTCTTGAGGAATGAACAATACAGTCACGTGTAGGGCGTGGACGCTGCCTGTCACAAACTCAGGGTGACGCTTAGGTGTCTACTGTGCCAACAGCACCAGGTATCATGGTTCTTGCAGTGACCTGTGAGGGTCAGGTGTGGCTTCTACAGCACAGGTGAGCAAGCCAGGGGTTGGAGAGGCAGGTGACTTGCCTGGTTGTGTTGGCTTGCTGGGGCTGCTATAACAAAATTCCAAGGACATTTGCTGTCTCTCAGTCCTGGAGGCCGGACGCCCGAGATCCAGGTGTCCTCGGAGCTGGCTCCTTCTGCAGCCTCTCTCTGTGGCTTGTAGATAGCTCTCTTTCTCCCTGTGTTCTCACGTGGTCGTCCCTCTGTGTGTATCTGTGACCTAATCTCCTCTTCTTATAAGGGCATGAGGCATGTTGGAAGGGACCACTCCCCCCAATGATCCATTTTACCTTAATTACATCTTTAAAGCCTCTGTCTCCAAATACAGTCACATTCTGGGGTCCTGGGAGTTAGGGCTTCCACACGTGAGTTTCAGAGGGACACAGTTCAGCCCAAACACCAGGCCGGCACAGTAGGTGGTGGTGCTGGATTGGAAGCCAGGCCTATGGGAACCCCGGACGTGCCACTCCATCACCAGGCTGCCTCCCTGCCTCTGGGACGTGTGAAGTTTCCACATGGACACGTCCTGGCTGCTTGTTTTCTCCAGCCAGCCACCGTCATGGCCTCTTCCAGAGGGTTCTACCCAGCTGGCCTCTAGAATTTTTGTTCTTTCAAAACTCAGCAGTATCTACTTATTGGCCGGTATGAAAAGCATCAAAGTAAGCTTTATAGTTACATTTAAGACTTACTTTTTTGGGGGGGTCTCACTTTATCACCTAGGCTGGAGTGCAGTGGCACCATCACAGCTCACTGCAGCCTTGGCCTCCTGGGCTCAGATGATCCTTCCACCTCGGCCTCCAAAGTAGCTGGGACTACAGGCATGTGCCACCACACCCAGCTGATTTTTTGATTTTGTGTAGAGATGTGGTCTCCCTATGTTGACTCAGCTGGTCTTGAGCTCCTGGGCTCAAGCAGTCCTCCCACCTTGGCCTCCTGAAGTGTTAGGATTGTACGCGCGAGCCACCGCACCGAGCCAAGTGTTACTTTCAAGTGATCTCATAGTAACTGTCAATTAAATTAAAGAACAGCAATTAAATTGCTGTTCTTTGGCTGGGCACAGTAGTGTGTGCCTGCTATCCCAGAACTCTGGGAGACTGAGGCAGGAGGATTACTTGAGGCCAGGAGTTTGAGACCAGCCTGGGCAACATAGCAAGCCCTCACCCCTACAGAAAAATAAAATAAAATAAGGGGCTCTTATATTAGCAAAGCATCCCTGTTGAACACGATAGGATGAGGGGAAGTGGTGAGTGTGTCCGTTGGCTCATTCGGCAAGTCTCCTGCGCACATGCTCGTACCTGGGCAGGGTGGCAGGTGTCTGGAAGTGACTCAGAACCAGCCCCCGCCCTCAAGCAGGACGGACCCAGAGACACACAGGGAGCTTGCAGCGCAGCAGCCCTGGGCACGTTGCATCAGAGATTTTGGAAAACAGCGTGTGGGCAAGAGGGGCCCGAGAAGTCCTCATGGAGGCGGACCTGGAGCTGGCTTGTAAGGATTTTCTCCTGGAGAGGACGCAGATGGGGTTCACGCAATCCCTCGGGCCAGCCCGGGTGCCCGGGCCAGCGGGGCAGAGTCCTCCACCTGGGAGACCCCTGGTCCGGGCGTGTGTGGGCCGCGGCAGTGGTCGGGGTGCGGGCCAGAGCCGGGCTGGGCAGGCCCCAGTTGCTGCCTTTCCTCGCCAGCTGGCAAAGCCCTCATTCTTGCAGCCGTGACCCACTCTGGCTGGGGCCGCCCCTGTCCAGGCGTGACCTGGTGCTCCAGGCGTGAGTGGGGCCGGGTCCTGCTCTCGGGCAGCTGACCTCAGAGGGCAGAGCCTGGAGGGTTGGCGTGAGTAGGGCTCTGGGAGCCCAGGGAGACCTGACCCAGCCAGAGCCAAGAGAGACTTCCCGCCCTCATTGCAGTGTGCAGGGCGGGTGGAGGCAGAGGGCGCCAGGCAGAGGGACCAGCCAGGGCCCGACAGGAGGAGAGCGTGGTGGGTGCCCGCGGCCTGCGACCCGCCC